TTTGGTACAAGGTGGCTTCATGTGTTCACATGAAATGGCTCACTGCAGCCCAGTCATCAGTGGATGACAAGGAATTGTTGGCTGTCCCAGTTATCCGCTGTAGAGCTCACACCCGTCTTCTAAGGCAGATGTTATTTTATTATTGCAATGTACAGATTCCTTTGAAACTAGCACAGATTACCTGCGTACTTGCTGCTATAGCCTTCCAGTGGCTGCTATCCCTGTACATTTTTCGTGTTACTAGACAGTGTATATTTGTAGGGCCTTCTCTAGAAAGAATTGGTCCTCTAAAGACTTGCTGAGAACAAAAAGCATGAAGTGATACAGACAGCTCTTTCAACTTCACTCTATGTTCAGTAACAGTTTTACACGTTCCCTTGTATTCATCACTACCATTTATGAAAGGTTAATATTAGTTCCATTATAGGCGACAGAGAAATTGAGGAGGAGAGAAAGTACCCAGAGAAGTCATGCAGAATATCCTGCTTCTGATTTAGGTTGCTGGCCCTTGAGGGGCCTCACTTCCTGTCAACAGGCATTTCATTTCCCACTCCACTATTAGTGTTGTAGGCGGTACATTTTGCAGGAGACTAATCCCTGTTCTTTGCTTGTGCTGTTTTCAAGGAAACCCCTTCCAAGCACATATTCTCCAAGCACGACAACAGACATGCCTTCTCAGGATCAGCGACTTGCTTCGAGAACGTGAGTGTGCTTGGCCCAGAGGGAAGGAAGGAGGAGGAGAGGGAAGGGGAGGCTCACGGTCCCTTTCCTCTTCTGCAGCAAGGAGAGCTGGCAGAGAAGTTAATCAGAGGAGTGCTTGATTAGAGCCATCATTTTCATTCCTAATATGATTAGCTCTCCTTTGGGAACCTCCAGGGCTCCTTCAGGAACTGATGGGGCCAAGTGGCTGCCTGGAAGGAATGCTAGTTAAGAACTCTGCCTTTCCCCCCTCTCTCCATGCTTCACGGAATACGCGCAAGCTGGAACTGCACCGACATTAATTGCCCATGGCTCAGCCACACACCTGACGGGTGCCTGCTTAACTGCACCATTCCTCAGGAGAGCAAACCCTTCCCAGACCCATTGAAAAGTCAGTGGGGTTTAGAAGGGTGTGGCACTGTTAAGGATGGCACCGCAATACACTTCAGCTCAAACACAGAGAAGTCAGGATCAGGGGCTGCATGAAAGGATGGAGCTGAGCAGCAGGATCGACACTGGGATGCCCCCACACTGTTGGATTCTGCTCCCATTCACAGTTTTTTCTGGGTACAAAAACATTGTTGGTTTTTTTTAAAAAGAGCAGATTATCCACAACCCTGAAACCCAGTGTGATTCCCTAAGAGATGGTTCCACTGATCACCTCAAGTGTATAAGGCTAGTGAAGCAGACAGTACCTTATGGGCATGAGAGGGGCAGTTATGACACCCTGAATAGCCTCTGGAATGATGGCTGGAAGACTGGGTGCAGGCACTGGGAGTAAGAATTCCAGCCTGGGTGAAAGCAGCTGCATTACTTTAAAGAGCCGTCATGGCAAATTCTGCATCTAGGAGTGCAGCTTCAGACTTGCCTTACGAACACACATTCCGGCTAGTCACATGCTGTGTCTGATGTCACTCTTGCCCGTCCCTTTGTGCACCCTCTGGATTTTTAAGAAGTGTCTTTTAAAATGAGATCTGTATGCCTGTTCATTTAAATGTCCATTCTTCACCTTGCCCTCACCTCCAAGTCCCAAACATCTAAAAAAAAAAAAAAGATAAATGTCAGGGGGCCAATTTTATAGGCACTAGCCAGATGGCACCCACCACAAGCAGCTTTCTGCCAACTCAGTTGCCATACTGGGAATGTATAGAAATTTTTATTTCTTTTACTCAGAGCTCATGCTGGGAGAGGAACAGATTAGTTTTGATTGCGCACCATCAGTAGCACTTTCCTCCTCCCCAGCTCTTAAAAAAAGAAAGTAGGAGCCTACTATAGAATTTTGCATCATTTAATGTGCCATGTTAATACTTTGCTTCAGTTCTGTTTTTTTAAGACTTCAGGTTGCTTCTACAACCCTTAATCCTACTGCATGATTCACTGAATGTCCCATTTGTCCATTGTAATCCACCCTGAGTCCGAGTGGGAAAGGTGGGATATAAATAAAATATAAATATTCCACTTTTGAGGACCTTCCGGCCCCTTCCTGCTCTATGATTACAGTGATTTGTTAGGTGGTTTTGTCACAATGAAAAGCTTGAACAGTCTGGCTCTTGTCCTATGGCAGGGCTTAGGAAGGAGGAGAATAGAGGGGAGCCTGCCCAGCACTCAGAACCTCATAGACTGGGTCCCCCTGAAGGAGGAGCTACAGCGCCAGAGGCCGCTTGTCTCAAGCTACCAGTATGACTACCGCTCCAGAGACGAAGTCCACCAGATGTTAGTTCCTCGCAACCGAGGGCAAGGGCAGCCCCTCCACCGCACACCCAGTACCACCTACCAGCGCACGTACCGGAGCTACTCCTTGCGCGATCCCATCCTTGGAGTATTAAAAGAGCAGAAGGTAGCCAAAGACCCAGAACCCGACTCACCTGCCCCTCCCACCTCGAATGAGCCCACCACCAGAGATGCCAGCAGAGGCCCAGGACCCTTTTACAGGCACCGCGCACTCCACAGGCCAGCGCCACTGACGGTGTATGACTGCTTGCACTGGTACAATTGCTGACCACGCGTCTGATATCGCCTCCACCTTGGAATAGCTTGGATGCTCCTTAGTAGGAAAAAAAACCTCCCCCCCAAAATAATAAAACCTTGCTGGTCTGTGGAATATCTGCTAGGTATGGCACCACCAGAGAAGGGCTTGTTGAATTCTGTTATGTCCTACCCACCCAGAGCTTACTGTAACAGAGTGTCAATTTTTTTTTAAAGGAAAAAACTTTAATTTTCTGTAAGGAGGCGTTTGCCAATTGCCACTTCTGTCAGTCGTCAGTTTGTCATATTGGCCTACAGACATACCATTAACTGTACCTTTGACTTCTTTTAGATAAGAGAGGGTTCAGGGGGGGGGGCAGGCTAAGGCATTTCAGCCAGGTGGCAAAGGGGTAGAAACTGGTAAAAGGTGAGATTCAGGGCTCTTGAGAGCCAAAGCTGCTCCTTCTCAGTCTTAGAAACTACCTGAACCTTCGGGCAGTCACAAGTGAACTGAAGAATGACTGAGATACACAGAAGCCTGATATTCCACAAAGGAACTGGCTGGAAAGTGGAGTTACTTGCATAGTTAAACTGTAATATGCACGTGAATGGACATGAGTTAAACAGCAGGCGTCCTTACTGAAAAAGAAAGCGACTGGACTCTGCACCCAGGGCTTTAAATGTTGTTGCTGGAAATCAGAAGCAAGGGGAGGCTGTGAAATGTCCATCATGCATACATTTTTAACACTGTCACAGAGACATACCCAATCCTGGGATCTACATCTGTGGGCTGTCTTCTGTGAGCTGCTTTGGTTGAATTATTTTGAAAAAAGATCATCGGGATTTGTAAAAAAAAGCTAATAAAACCACGGCATTGACCGCACCACTGGGGAAGCCGGTAATTATGGGATGAAGCAGACACAGGCCAGGCAACAGTTCTGTTCAGACACTATCCCACCTGTAGGTGTGCCGTACTGGATCACTTCCTGTGCACGATCCACATAACTTCCCTCAAGCAGGAGCTTCGGTTTGTTATGGAGACACTGCGTTTTCCTCAATACAAACTGCATACACAGGTAAATGGGACCACAACCCACCCGAGCTCACAGGACTGTTGCAATCTAGAGAGTTGTCTGAATGCAAGCAATCGAGAACTGGCTCTCAGGGGACCAGATTAGACAGACTTGTTGTTAAAGAGTTGGGTTCCAAGTGCAGGTCCCCCACAATTGCACAGCAGCCGCAGGCAACGTTTTAAAAAAAATATAAAGGAAAGCCTGTTTGGGCTTGGAATGCCACCCTGGGGCTGGGAGGAAGGGCTCCTGAGTTAAGAACAGAAGAAGCACTCCATCTAGTCCAGGATCCTGTCCCACACAGTGGCCAACCAGTTCTACTAATTTTCCTGGGATGGATATTAAGCTCCCTCCCCAAGCTATTTTCAGGCACCAACACGGTGCTGGGTGGGAGGAGTTATTTCTCTGTTTCTGCTGCTCTGTGTGGAGTATTCTGTGCACATGGAGCATTAAAGATGGGGAAATTACCCCCCTCCAAGGATTGTTACAGCACAGGAAACCGGCTGGGGTGGGGGGAGGTAGGAGCCCTTCCTCCTCCAGTGGCAGCATTCCAGGCTCTCCTTTATTTTCAAAATGCCATTTCCCTCAGCTGCAGGGAACCCAACTCTTTTAAACACAAGCATGTCTCGTTTGGCCCTTGAACAGTGTCTGTGGGTCTACTGCTGAGAGACATAAACTGCCTCCCCCCTAACAGAAGGGCTCGGCTCCCCAAGAGAAAGGTCACATGGGAGCCAAAATCGGCATCCTCAGCCAAAGCATGAAGGCCTTTATCCAGGTGTCCTGGAAACTACCTGAGGAATAATTCCAGGACACTCACTGAGCCCGTCCCTTTTGGTGCCGCCCTTCTGCTGCACCCACTATTGCCTGCACCGTGGATAGTTCCACCATTCCCCCCCCCTTTTCTCCTACTGCCCAAAAACATCCCATGCTCCTAGCTTGTGGTTCTCATACTCCCACTGCCGTCTGAAGCAGCTTCTCTGGGGAGGCAGCACAGACATGTGATCAATCAATACTCCCCTACCCAGATGTCTTGGAAATGGCTAGAGCTCTGACTAACCCCCTATCTAATTCTTCTGCCTTTTGAGAAGGGTGGGATGGGTTCCTTGGTGATGGTTGGCATGCGTCGTCTCACTGAGCTGTGACAGGTCTTTGGTCACATCTGAATTCTGCAATAATTCCCCAAAAGTCGCATCTGATTATAAGTGCCGACAGGACAGAGAGGCTAGTCAGAGACCTGCAGCAGACCTCAAATGACAGAGCCCCCAATGTCCCTTCATAACCCAATACTGAGACACAGAAAAATAGGGAGGAAAAAATCCCACCGGTTTTATTGAGATGAGGTGCTACGTCACCTCCTAGGCACTGAGCTAGAGGGCACCTTACGTGCTACATGAGACACGGACCGGGTTAGGAACACACCACAAGGCGTCATGGCTACACCCAGCCTTAGAGTCAACTCTGCTGTGCAGCATAAGAGACAAACATAAAAATACTAGCAAGGACAGCTGAAAGCAGTAACCCTGGAGGACCTGCTCTGCTTGGATGGCACCTCCTTTCACACACCTTCCCCAGGGCCAGCTGAGGAAATCCCACTGCCCTTTAGCAAGCAAGGGTCAATTCACAGTCCAACGGGCATGGTGAGAATGCGGGCAGAGGGTCACACACGGTCCATCTCCCACGCTCGACTCCCACTCTTCAGGCCATCACTTATCCCTTTTCTGGCATCTTCAGAATGGTGCGTTAAATGTGAGTTGTTGTGAATATAGCACCATCAACGTACATGGCACTATACAGAACAGGAGAAGAGAGAGGGAAAGGGAAAGACTGTACCCCGGAGAGCGTACAATCTAAAATCCAATTGAAGGGGAGATAACAAAGAGATGGGAGTCAAATTCTGAGCTGGGTGACAAAATTACACAGCCAATTCTAACCTGAGAAGCACAGCTCTGCCCGCTTTCTTGAGACACCCGCTTGGGACTGTTTTGGAAGTCAAGACGGTCATGTGCAGTGAAGAAACCACAGCTGGGCGGCCAGGGTCTTCTGCACCGGTGCCGGAAGAGTCAGCTCCGTTGAGTTTACCGATCTCTAGCAGGCAAGAACAGCGATCTGCTGCTTGACCACCTGCCCTGCCTACAGAACACACTGTGCCCGTCTCCGAGATACTCTATGCTTTTGAGAAGATGAAATGTGTTATTTTGGAAAACAGCAAAAGGAAAAGGTCACTGCTGCAGGGGGGGGGCGCCCCGTCGGTGGCGAAGCGCACGCTCTCCTCCCCGCTCCCCTGTAATGCACATCCCATCACTGTCGTCAGGCACTTCAGCCCTCTTGGCTTGGCTCGTCTCGGCAGGAGGAACCCTTCCACCAGGGTGTGCTTCCTCAGACCCCATCCCGGAGGCACAGGGCCTCCACTGTGCTGCTGGGGCCCTGAGCCACCCCTCCGACCACAAACAGCAAGTTGGCAGCCTGCAGGCTAGAGCAGGAGCAGCGGCCGGTGGGCATGGAGGGCAGTGGTTCCCATTTCTTCTTTGCCAAGTTAAAGCTTTCCACGGAGCACAGAGGACTCGACTGGTTCCCTGCAAAGGAAGAGAAGAGATGGGCCCATGAACCAATCAGTAGTCACCTAGTCCTCTGCTCAAGTCATGGCTGAGGAACCAGGGAATGACAGCTATGGTAAGCAGAAGAGGATGGCGTGGTCCAGCCAGGTTCCAAGCCCATGCATCTCCTAACATGGGCTGCATGGCATGTGCCGCTGCACCAACCAGAGGTTTTATTTACAGGCTACTGTGATGCTCACAGAAGTCATGGACTAAGAGCTCAAATTCAAGTCAGAAACAAGGAAAAGCAGGTCCTTGGCAGGCTCCCCTCCCTCCTGACGGCTTGGCCAGCACCACAGTAGAGCTCTAGGCTAAGAGGATCTGCATGAAATCCAGCAGCCCCCCCCCCATGCCAAAAGCTGCAAGGCTGCACATTTCAAAGGGTTCCGTTATCCCATTCCAAAGGCAATCTTTTTGGGGGTTATGAATTTTCACTTTTACATGCTGTATTTTATGTTTGGATACTGCTAGATGTTTGGCTGTTTTTAAGAAAAAGGAAGCTGGATAGAGAGATTGGGTTTGGATGCCTTTTCTGATGAGAAAAGAAATCACTGGAGGCAATCCCCACCACCACATAACTAGATGTAACAAAGATATAACCTTCCAAGCACTCCAAAGTAGACATTTTCATTGTGGAAATGACAGGGAAAACTAGTCTGAATCTGGGGATGGGTGAGTCACTGACTTTCTTAGCAGGCGGTGTAGAAGAGAGGACTGTAACTTCAGTGCTTTTTTGTGTGTGTGTGTGTGCGTGCAGACGCATGGGGAGGGGAAAGATTCAGTGCGGAAAGAACCCAGAAAGCCATTCATAATAACCACAAAGAGATGAAGGCATCGTGCATTCTAGAGGCAGACAGGCATTGGCTAGCTGCTATGCATACTCAAGTCACAGGTGCATCTACATAAGATTAAAAATCGGCATTATTCATGCACACAGTAACTACCGTGTGGTTCTGCCATCAGCAGAGACTACAGCACATGACGCACTGTGTGGGGATGGCCAGAAACAAAAAATATCCACTGCCATCCCTGGCAGAAAAGTGGGGGGTTAGTCAGCATGAAGGCACTAAATGAGACAGACAGAATGTTCACTGGTGGTGGTGGTGGGAATCAAACCTCTCATTCACATGTCAAGACTGAGATCTGAAGTACTCTTCCCTTGAAGTAGCCCCCCGCCAGAATAAAGTGGGACTTAACTTCTGAATAGACTTGTTCTCCAACAGAACAATCCTCAGCAGGTCTCTTCAGTGGGGCTAGTCCCAGGGAAGTGCTCTTAAGAGTTGTACGGGCCTTGTGAAGAAAACAGTTCCCACCCCTATCCCGCCCAATGTCCTCTGGTTCTCTGAGACCCCTGTATTCATGTGTTTAAAGAACCATTGTAGCAAGTAGGATAGGGCTGTTGGGACACTGGCTGAAGAAACCCAGGTTCAAATCCTCACTGGGCCCTCAAGAGAGAGAGAAGAGAGATTGGATTTATACCCCACCCTTCACTACCCAAAGGAGTCTCAGAGTGGCTAACAAACTCCTTTCCCTTCCCCTCCCCACAACAGACACCCTGTGAGGTAGGTGGGGCTGAGAGAGCTCTTGACAGAAGCTGCTCTTTTTCAAGGACAGGTCTTGTCAGAACTACGGCTTGCCCAAGGTCATCCCGCCAGGTGCAAGTGGAGGAGTGGGGAATCAAACCCGGTTCTCCCAGATTAGAGTCTGCACATTTAACCACTACACCAAACTAAGTGTAGTGACATCCTCAGGCAAGCCACTAGCCACTTCCTCTAATTCCTCTCACCTTTCTTTAAGAATAGACTCTGCTCTCTTGACTGTAAGATAACCAAAAAGAATGCCACACTGTACAAAAACCACATTTCAAAGGAAAATCTCAAGGTCACTTAGCTGGAAGCATATAATAGCCATCACGCTAATTTCCCTCATTGTCTGACAGGAAGACTAAACTATAGGAAAAAGCATACATTTTTCTTTTCTTCCCTCAAGCTTAGCCCTACAATCCTCTATAAAGCTGTCTTTCACTCAAGATTAATTATCCTGAAGGAATTCCATAATTTGCTATCATAGGGTGCATGCTTCAAACTCCATTTTTCTCCACAAATAATTAAATAATGATTTCTCCTCCAGGCCCTATGCTCAGACACCGCCATGGATAGAAGCCCCACTCTGCCTCTAACCTTGCAATACTCTAATTGCAACCATGACAGAATGACTGAAGAGAAAGCATGGTGTAGTGGTTACCTGGTAGAGACCTGGGTTCAAATTTCCCTTTTCCCATGAGGGTCACTAAGTGACCTTGGCCTAGTCATTCTCTCTCAGCTTAACCTACCATCAGAGAAGAAGAGTTTGGATTTATACCCCGCCTTTCACTACCCGAAGGAATCTCAGATACAATCTCCTCTCCCTTCCTACAACAGACACCCTTTGAGGTAGGTGGGGCTGAGAGTGATCTCTCAAGAACTGCCCTTGAGAGAACAGCCCTGAAAGAACAGATTCAGGTGGGTGGCTGTGTTGGTCTGAAGCAACAGGAAAAAGTTTGAGTCCAGTGGCACCTTTAAGACCAACAAAATTAAACTTTGCTGGTCTTAAAGATGCCACTGGACTCAAACTTTGTTCTACCCTCAGAGGGATATTGTATGGACAAAACAGAAGGGACAACCACAGTGACAAAATAAAGACTTGACATTGAGGAAGTATTTTAATGCATGCCAATTCTGCATTAAAGTGGAACAAGATCTCCCACAGCAAGCAGTATTCTCAACTGAGATTTTAATGTCTAATGAGACTGCAGGGATAAGATTGTTTGCATTGGAAAGCAGTGGGTTTTCCCCTCCATGCACCCTGCTCCTCAGGCTGTTTCTCCCACAGCCTCAGTGCCCAGCTTAGAGAAAAACTATCCATAAAGATGGAATTGTAGGGTGGGAAACTGCAAATCAGAGAAAGCAATGGGGTAAAGAGGAACAGCTTTAAGGGGTGTCTCTGCAGGCCGGCGGCCACACTTATGAAGTAGGGTGATCTATTTTAAGGAATTACATTCTAGCTCATAACAGGCTCAAGACTTTTGACCTCTCACTCCCCACACACAATCACACCCAAGTTTTTGTGCACATTCATGTTCCCCACCCCGAAGCGCCCGATGGCCCTGATCTGCAACACTTACCGAGGCCGCCGGCTACCACCACACGCCCACCCAGGCCACCAGCCACAAAGTCAGCCCTCTTGTCCCTCATGCGGGTGGTCCGGCTCAGCCGACTCCAGGATCCTGGATGGGAAGGGGTTGGAGAGAGTCAACGTTAGCTTACAACAGAGGTAGAGAAACTAGATAGGCAGTGGGAAGAGAGGAGCGAGAACCCTGCGCACATTGGATGAGTCAAGGGCCCTGCATGGAAATCTTGGGGAGGGTATTGCCTTCCCTAAGACCGGAGAGGGGGGCTGTCTTATCAACGAAGGCAGGAAACGTTACTGGTTGGACGTCCACCTTTCCAGTTTGGTGTAGTGGTTAAGTGCGCGGACTCTAATCTGGGAGAACCAGGTTTGATTCCCCACTCCTCCACTTGCACCTGCTGGATGACCTTGGGCACGCCATAGTTCTGATAAGAGCTGTTCTTGAAAAAGAGCAGTTTCTGTCAAGAGCTCTCTCAGCCCCACCTACCTCACAGGGTGTCTGTTGTGGGGAGGGGAAGAGAAAGGAGTTTGTAAGCCGCTCTGAGACTCCCTTGGGTAGTGAACGGCGGGGTATAAATCCAATCTCCTCCTCCTCCTCCTCCTACTGAGGACAAACTTTAGCTGACCTCAGGACTGCCAACCTTCACCCCTCTCTTCTCGCTCACAGGTATAGGCTGCAGTTTACCTTCCTCCAAGTCAAACACTTCCACGGTGTTGACAAAGTGGGGCCGGGAATAGAAGTTGTGGGGGCCGGGCTGCTGCAGTCCTCCCAGGCTGAAGAAGCAGCCGTCAACCATGGCACAGCTGGCAAAGGCACGCCGGCTGGGCACACTGGGGTAGCGCGTCCAGCTCCTCATTTCCAGATCAAAGGCTTCCAAGGCTGTGACGGGCAGCTTCCCCTGCCTTCCTCCTGTGGAGAGAGAAGATTCCCAACATCCTGATTGGTAAACCCGTTCTCTGTGGGCTAGGAAGGCAACCGTGCAAGCTAGCCGAGGGTTCAGAGGCTAAGAAGGGGAAGGAGGTTGGTTTAGGCAACCAAACGTTGTGTTGGAAATCCAGAGCAACAAGATGCCTGGAGGGAAAAAAGACCTTGTGCACACAGCCATTAAATTAACTTTAGCTTCAGGTTTGTTTGTTTGTGAAGATCCATGCAAGGTCAAACGGAGGAGGATAACTCTAAACAAACCGAAAGCTCTTGACTTAGCTGGCCCATTATTTTTTGGATTAAAAGAGGCGTGAACCCCATCAGTGCTGTCGCCAGTGACAGATGGAGTTCACAGTTCCATTAAGAAACAAGGCCACCGGAGAATGACCCAAGAGTCAAGCGCAGTTGTGTAGCTGAAACACCCTGGAGCTCCTGGTTCATAAAACGCAGTGCCTGCTGACTCAGGATAATGACTTTTTCAATTAACCAAATCTAATTTTAGATTGTATAAACAGGTCCAAGATCGGTTGCAAATAGCGCCCCCACCCCCACCCCCAGTCATGCCAAGCCTTTAGGGCACTGTTTGAATAATCCTGCATGCTTGGCTGGCCCTGGATCATCACAGCTTGGCTTGATTAGGGATCGTGGTTCTTTGTTCATCTTTCTTTAATTCATCTCTCTCCCCTCCCCCATTCAGCCTTTACTCCCCCCCCCCACCCCCAGCTTCACTTAAGATTGTACTGCCTCTGTATATAAACTTTGTCATTCCCACACTGTCGGTAACATCGTGCACACTCTTGTGGGCAGAGAATAAACAGCTCCATCCCAGCAGGCAGCGTTGTCATGGGCACTGGGTGACAGGAAGTTCCTAGGCGGGACATTGCTTTCAGAACTGCACAGATGCCAGCGAGCACATCCTGCCCTAGGACACTGTCCTTACCCATCACGTAGATCTTGTTTCCATGCAAGAAAGTGGAGGCCCCGTAGCAGGGCGTGGGCATAGAGGGCAGGGACAGCCAGTGATCCTTCGTCGGCTCGTACAACCGCACCAGCGCTTGAGGAGATGTGTCTGAGCCCATCCCACCTAAGGCGTAAACTGCACCATCTGGAAGAGAGGAGGAGACAGTCAAGGGGATGGGCACAGAGTGGGGGGGGAGAGAGAGAACACAAGCAGTTTGCACGTGCCTGCTACCAGATGAAGTCACAAAAATAGTCATTGCCAAGAGCAATCAGGGTAGCCTAATATGCTGCCTCTGACAGCTGTCAACCCTGGACCCAAACTGAAAAGAAATAAGAAAAATCACAGGCACTTAAGATTCAAAATCTGGGAAAGCAGGATTCAGGATCATCCAAGCCTTAAACCAAGGGCATCAACGTAAGTCGGCGTAGGTGGGGGTGGAAAAGGCTTCTAAGATCCTATAGTTGCTCCGGTGAGTCTGAGGGAACTCTCCCATGTAAATTATTGAACCATTTTTAGGGCTGGGAAGTCCCATCCGTGGATTCTGCGTAATCTGTGTAATCCACCTTGACTCCAAGTGAGAATCCACCTGTATAATCCACCTTGAGTCCAAGTGAGAATCCACCTGTGTAATCCACCTTGAGTCCAAGTGAGAAAGGTGGACGATAACGTAGTAGCCCTTCATTGGCAAAGGAATGTAGCCACTCACGACTGGTATCTCATGTCACTGCAATCAGTGTTCCCTCTAAGCTGAGTTAGTATGATCTAGCCTCCAGCTCACCCATTTTTTGTCTTAGCTCAGGAAGGATGGCTCCCGAGCAAACTAATTTATGCAGGAGCCAAATCGCTCACTCACAATTTTAATGCCAGTAGCTCACAAAGTAGAATTTTTGCTCACAAGACTCCACAGCTTAGAGGGAGTGTTGACTGCAATATAAACACATGAAAACTGCCCTATACTGAACCAGATCTGTGGTCCATCAAAGTCAGTATTGTCTACTCAGACTGGCAGTGGCTCTCCAGGGTCTCAGGTAGGGGTCTCTCACATCCCTTCCCACCTGATCCTTTTAACTGGAGATGCTGGAGATTGAGCCTGGGACCTTCTGCATGTCAAGCAGAGGCTCTGCCAGTGAGCCACAGCCCCTCCCCATATGTTATATTTGTGTATAGATCAGCTGTTTCTGAACTGTGGCTCAGGATTCAGAAGTGGGTCATGTGGCCAGGCGAGAGAAGGTGAAAGAGAAAAGGTGGGGAAAAAATGGCGATCTGGGAGAGGACGATCTGGGTCCTCGATAGCAAAATTTGCACTGGCATCTCCAGAATGTATTTAATGGCTATGAAATAATGCCTGTTGCTCAATAATATGGTATAGTTATACATGCTAAAAATGAAAAGAAAACATAAAACTCATTCCATACTAAGTGATATGGAATTCTAACATTTTATTTTGGGGAAAGGAAAGTAAGAAGAGGGCCCCTATCCTGATTCTACCTTCTTAGGCTATGACCCTCCAAGAGGAAAGAAGGGATCGGGGGGGGGGGGGGCTAGCGTTCACTTGCAGGGAATCCTAGCCCCCCTTCCCAGTGAGGCAACAGCTGGACTTCATATGCTGCCACCACCCCCAACTCCTCCCCAGTGGTCCAGCTCATTGAAAATGGGGTGTATGGACTATCTCCCTCCTCCTAGGCCCAACTAAATCCCTGAGCTGGACTAGGGATTTGTGAGCCAACTGCCAGGCTTGTAAATTACCTATGCACAATCTGAGATCTTTAGAAGGGAAGAAAGATCTTTATTTAAGTAGAAAACATTCCTACCAATTAAGAACACAGAGGCCCGGGAATAGATATAGATCTATCAGAACAACAGTGCAAGTGTTATCAGAAACTAAGAAAAGTACAAGAAGGGGAAAAAGGAGGATCCGGGTAACTACCACCAACCTGTCAGCTTGACGTCTATACCTGGGAAATGGTGGGCGAAAAGCAGAAGCCTCAGGGAGCTTTCGAGTGGGGAGGGGGTTTAAACCGGAAGTGGATTGACACCGGAGGAACGATCACACAGGAGGGGGGAAATGTGGCTTTAAACGGGAGAGCTGAGAAAACACCACTTTGGGACCTGGTAACAAAATACTCCGGGTTAAAGCGGTTTTGAGCCGGAAACCAACAGAGGCAGATGTTGACTGTGTGATAGTGCAGATAAAATCCGTTGCTGAAGCATGACGAACCAGATCAAACGGCGTGTCTGAATGCACCCTTAGAGCGATTCCTCAGTGGAACAGGCTTCCTTGGGAAGTGGTAGGTTCTCCTTCTTTGGAGGTTTTCAAACAGAGGCTAGATGGCCATCTGACAGCAATGTGGATTCTATGAACTTAGGCAGATCATGAGAGGGAGGGCAGGAAGGGTTGCCTCAGTGCTTAGTTCTTGTGGCCCTTTTTTACACACCCAGGGAAATGCTACTTTGGGGTCAGGAAGCAATCCTGAAGGTTTTTTGCATGACAAAAAGATGAGCAGTTACTTCTGATAATGGCTCAACTTTAGGGTGCGTGTGTAGGGCAAGCCATCTGGAAGCGCTCTCAGGAGGGGAAACCATGTTAGTTCCCCTGGCCTGTTGTTCTACCTTCTTGCACCACCTTTATACTCTCAAGATGGTTCTCAGCCAAGCTTGTTTCCTACCACCATTTCGATGCAGTGTCTTGTGCCAAGGAGACAGAGAAGGGTTTTTGATTTCCAGCTGCTGTTTGCTATGGTTCTTTAAGCAGCTAAGTAAACTCTGTAACACCCACATGTGTCATTCAGGTCACATATTAAGCGAGAAAGGATGTTTTATGAGGGGGGTTTACTTCTTTGACTGCAGTGTTACATTCTTTGTGTATGTTAAATAATAAGCCTAACCCCTTGGGTTACGTAAACCTGCGTGTTCTGAATGAGGCTGGGTGAGGAATTCCACTAGTTCCATCCCACTTCACAGCCTGGTGCCTTCGCCCTTTTGGCTGAACTAGGAACAAAGAGCCCTTGAGACAAGACAAGAGGAGCGAAGGGGGGGTGGTTTAAAGATCGAAAGCTGGCTGAGTTATTATTCAGTAATACGGTCAAGAAGTATTAGCAAAACAGTCTCTTCTTCACAGATATTACGAGTCCCTACTGTTCAATAATCCAGTAGGCAACCGGCTGACAGTGTTTCGGGATGGATTTATCCCAGTGGTAAAGCTGGAGGAACTAGCCCCTCAGTTAATTCCATTTATCAAGTCACCCCTGGGGTGCCAGCAGAAGGAAAACGGTCAGGGTGCACTAAAGGCTGTTAGGGATGTAACGTCTCCCTGTTAGCCACACCAGCCTTGAACATGGCCACATTTCCCCGTTTTCTATCTGCACCTACAACAGGTGTCTTATTCCCCATGCTGGCTGACATCTTGTCCCCCCCCACCCACAAACACTTCGAAATAAATGCCACCCCCCCAGTCTTACTGCCATCTGACAGGTCCCCCAGTACCTGTCATTCCAGATGTGGCACCCACCCCTCCCTCTGCAACATACTCCACAATGAACAACACAGGGATCCTAGGCAATCACATCTAATTATACTCGCCGCATTGTATCCCTGGAGATGCCATGGCAACCCAGCCACGCTGCCAAGTTTGGTTTCCAGCACAGCCTGCCCACTGCTCTGCAAACTGCAAGTGGGGACTCTAAGGCCTCCCTCCCCCAAGGTGGAACGAAGGGGGGGGGGCGCTGTCGCAACAGCAGTTCTGTAGGGACGCTACCCCTTGGCCCGCGGGCAGCCTCTCTCTTCCAGCATCCCTCTGGTTCACTGTCGTGCCCGGCTGGCAAAACCCAGCAGCCACTGGGAGATGTGGTATCAGGACCATTGTCCAACATAGTAGCTCAGAAGCACAAAGGACTTGTTGCCCAGTCCTAATAGCCTTATATTTTAGCCTTCTCGCTCCAACCACGCCAGGGGAAACCGCTCCGAGCTCTCAGTGCCCTCCACTGCCACCACGTGAGCCCACAGCGCTCTGCAAAAACTCCCCTTATTTCCAGAGCAGCTTAGATAACCAGGCAGCAATACAAAAGCTCGAGCAACTTATTATCAGCAATTAGCATAACAAAGAGAAAATCGGATCCAGGTATGTAAAGAATATCTTTCCCAAAGTGTACTGAAAGATCACTTCAGTCAACATTAAGGGCTCTTCCAGTGCAATTAAATACTGGATAATTAAGGTGAATGGGGAAATGAAACCAATAAATTATTTACTGCTGCTTTGTAGTGGCCAATTCACCTACGTGTAACCTCCCCCCTGGGACACTCTACACAGGCAGCTGTAATATTTATTCTACAGACTGTGGAATGTGAAACAAGACTGCCATGACTAAACAAGGTAAAAATCCACACACACACCATTCCTCCCACTCCCCATTCTATTATCCCTGCCAAGTCCTTCTGCTCCTCATTGGAGCTATGCTTCCTACCCAAATTAATGTTCTCTTTTTCTATAGGCTGAATTGCCTGGAACTGTTAACACAGCCAACCCTCAACAATGGCAAAGTGCAGTGGATTATAAATAAATTTAAAAAACAGTGGCCATTTCAGATTGCGGCTGCTGTATTTTTGAATTATGAACGTCTTTGCTGGTAGGATCTACAGATATGGACTGTCTGGTTGCAGTGTAAAAATTATTGAACAGAGGACGAAGAAAATCAATGTCTCTATCCACGCAGAAAAGCCTCAGATCAATAGCAGGGCAATTGCTTTGCATGTATTAAGGCCCAGGGTCAATGGTCAACATCTCCAGTTTAAAATTTCTTGGGTGTGGGGGTTGCTCCCATTTTCATTTATGGGGTTTTTTTTTTGTAACTCTGTGTGTGTGTGCCTGGGCACACTTGTGGGTCTGGAAGTCATGGTTGACTTCTGGCAACCCCTAGTGAGGCTAGGACACTTCAGAGAGGTTGCTTGCTACAGCCTGCCTCTACATCCCAGCCCTGGTATTCCTTGGAGGTCGCCCTTCCAAGTACTTGCCAGGGTCGGCCGTGCTTAGCTTCCGAGATCTTGTGAGACTGGGCTTGCCTGGGCTATCCAGGACGGGGCCTCATTTACGTTTTTAATTTGGATTAATTGGTACTCTATCATTAAGAGCTGGGTAAAATTTAAAGTCAGTTTGTGTGACTACCCTTAGTTATTTACCTACATTTTTTATCCTGTCCTTCGGTGTAGTGGTCAGAATATTAGACTAGGATGTTTGAGCCCCTGTTCTACCATGGAAGCTTGCTGGGTGACTTTGGTCCAGCCCAGCCACACTCTCTCTCAGCCTAACCTACCTCACAAGGTTGTTGTGAGGTAAGAATGGAAGAGGGGGAAATGGTGTAACCTGCTTTGGATCCTCATGCAGAAAAAAAGGTGGGATAAAGGACGTAAATAAAATAGAATAACATTTCTTGTCTGTTTAACCTCACAATAACCTTGTGAGGTAGGTTAGGCTGAGACAGAGTGACTGACCTGAGGCGCAGGCAGAGCACTCTGTGGAATGGCTCTTCGACTGTGAAGGGTGCTTGGCCAACCTCGCTCTAAATGACATGCCAAGAGTCAACACACAAAATGAGAAAACCTGAACCAGAGAAAAAACAACTTTCATTTTGCTTTCTCTTAAAATGACTGTGAATATAGGCTGGAAAACATCCCTGCTGGAGATTTCTCCAGGAGTCCCCCACACACACACACCTTCCCCAAGCCAAAGTGTGCGTATGTATCTGCGAAATGAGAGAGACGGACAGTGAAAAGGATTCCCAGGAACAGGGACTTGGGTTTGGTTTCCAGCATAACTCCTCACCCTGCCTCAGAAGGTGGAAGGGCCCACGTGATTCATTTACAGACTTTCGTGCCCAGGAGTACACACAGCCCTGAATTAAGACAGCTCCCTCCTTCAGTGCTAGCTGGGCACTCAGACAGTCAGAATCACCTTTAAGTAAATGCATTTGACTTCCCGACCAGATCTCACGCTTTTACTCTGGGGCGAAAGCTGCCACTATTTTCCCCATGCAGAAACCAAGGTACACCTGCTGTGATTCCAAATGCAATTAAATGGGGTCTGAGCCACCCTTGCTGTCTTGCGGGCAATTACACATTTGTGTGAAAAGGAGACATTCAGAGCTCCTTGGCCCTGAGCCTAACCTACCTTACAGGGTTGTTGTGAGGATAAGAGGAAGAAAACCATGAAGAAAGTGCAGGGCAGAATTGTGGTAAGTATTGATTTTAAGTTTAATGAAACTGCATTTTGTTTTTTAAAAAAATAAGAGAAATAATATGATATTTTAGCCAAGCTTACAAAAGCGTCAGCCGATTACAGTGGGAAGGGGCTGTGGCTCAGTGACAGAGCATTGTCTGTTTGGCATGCAGAAGGTTCCAGGTTCAACCCTCAACGTCCCCAGCTTAAAAAAAAAGGGAAAAAAAAGGATCAGGTGGTCAGTGATGTGAAAGACCTCACTCAGCCTTCGACTCTGGAAAGCTACTGTCAGTCAGAGTAGTCAATACTGACCTTGACAGTACGAAGGCCTGTATGAGGCACCTTCATGCGCTCATGTGAATAATGCAGTAAGATCAGATTCTAATCGCAAAATAAAGAGAAAGATTTTACAAATCTAATTCCTTTCATTACTACCCAAAGTATTACCAATTGGCCACTACGTTTAATGCAATGAATTTCTAAAAAACCAGGCGGATTGATGTTTACATTCAGATTTTCAAAGATCAAATTATTAGCCCTTTATGCTCTATCAGATAAGGCTTTTGAATCTGCTCCCAATGGAATGAATCACTGTAGTTAAAAAAAGAAAAAATGAGATGGAGGGAGGGAGTGAAGCCTAGAATTCAAAGACTGTAGCAGAGAGTAGATAGGAACAACATATCAGAAATGGAGATCAGATACTCTGAAAGTGTGTCACACTTTCTGCAACAATTTATTATCAGCAAAAAACCAGCTCTGCCAACTGCAAGAGCCAATAGCATATTACTGGTGCAGGTTGATGTCTTCCCAGGTACTATGGCAGAGCCCTACAGAAAACGCCTACGTGCCAGCTTGCTCAGGCATACTTTTGTGACTTTACTTGTGGTCTAAAAAGGAATACAAAACAAGCCCAAAACAAACCATACCACAGCGTTTGCAAAGCAACTTCAATGCACCACAGGTGATTAGGCAAATGGCTACTTACCTTTTTAAGCCCAATAGATAGATTTAGAGTAATTCTGCAGCGGTTTACATTAGAACCCAAATCTTAGGTACAAGTTAAACACGATGCTGGAGGAGCAAGAAGAACGTACCCAATGTAGCACTGCACATGTCCATATTGCACATTGTTCAACCAGCCTGTTTGTACATCAGGGGATCCACAGCTCAGGAAGGTGCAATGCTGATGCGGTAACGGGCATACCAATGCCACATGGGCAAATTTTCTTGCTTGATTCCCACATTAAAAATCACCTTCTTTAAAAGAAGTACTTAAGAGAAGTACTGCCTTTCCTCTGAGGAATTCAGTGCAGCACATGTGGGGTTTTCCTCCCTCCTCTCCAATTTTATCCCTACAACAACTGTGAGAGCGCGTGACTGTCCCGAGGTCGCCTAGCAAACTTCATGGCAGAGTGGAGATTTGAACCTGGTCTTTCTGTTTGGGGGTTGCAATTAATTTTTTTATTTTTTAATCTCTACACCACATGAGTTCTCTGTAGGAATATCAACCATTCTCCCTAAAACACTGCGGGATTCTAACCCAACATCACTGTAAACTGTGGTGGGAAATGCTGTTAAGTTGTAGCCAACTTACAGTGAGCCCTTAAAGAGTTTCCAAGGCAAGAGACGAACGGAGGTGGTTTGCCATTGCCGGACTCTGTGTAGCAGCCCCGGATTTCCTTTGTGGTCTCCCACCCAAATACTAAGCAGGGCTGACTCTCCTTAGCTTCTGGGAGCTGACGAGAACAGGCTAGACTGGCCCCTCCAGGTCAGGGCCGCTGCAGACTACTTGTGGAGCAGATCCCCACCTGCCTTACCTTTCTCGACCACAGAGATGCCCATGGAAGCCTGCGCAAGGTCCGCTTTCTTCTCCCACTTGCCTTCGTCCACGTTGTAGACCTCAACTGACGCCAGAGGGCTCTGCGTAGAGTCCACCCCTCCGACCACCATCAGTTGCTTGCCCAGCATCGCTGCGGCTGCCCCTGCCCGAGGCGTAGGCATAGGCGGCAGTGAAAGCCACTTCCGGGAAACGATATCCAACATTTCCACAGTGTCCAGGGGAAACGCCTGCTGACTGCAGCCCCACATCTACGAGGCATGGGTGGAAAGGGAAGCCGATAAAACTGCCGGGAAAGTCCAGGGTGCGCTGAAGGAGCCGGTGAGTAGTGCCAAGATGCCTGAGGGATGCTGGTTTCACCATGAAAGGAACCATTCCTACCCAGAATGCCTAGGGCTGTCTTGAAGGTCTCTCTGGACACCCCGGCCAGGCCTCAAATGTGGGGAATTCAGCAGCAAACACTGGCCAGTTTTGGGCAAGCAGGGCTCTCACAGAAAGCCCTCTTCCAGCTTGCGCCTCTCAGGTATTTGTACTGATGACAGGTCCTGTGGCAGGGAAGGGGCAGGGAAGAGAGAAAAAGAGAGTGGAAGGAGGGAATAATGTTACTTGCAACTGCCATGAGAGTAATTTTAAGGGATTTGGCTGCAGAGAACAACAGGCCACGCTGGATTACAGGAAGCCTCCTAAATTGCCCACCAGACCTCGTACTGCCCTTTAAGTTCAGGCAACGATCCCAGATCCATCAGCTGGAAAAGGCTTCAGGCAGCCTGGGCTTCAGACTAGAACTAACCACATTCGGCACTAACTCTGCACGTTACATAGCTTACAGCTGGAAAACACAGCCTGCGTCTGGCCCACCGAGGCCTTTCCCACAGAACCTGCCCTCCCATGACTGGCCCAGCACTGATAAAGGCAAGTATCAGGCACAGGCTGGATCCGATCAAGGCCAACATCTTATTTCTGAGGTCAACCAAGTGCCCTAGAAAGTCCACAAGCAGAGGGACCCCCGAGGCCAAAGCCATATTTGTACCTTGTCAAATGGCATTCAGAGGTATACTGCCTCTGGATGTGGAGGTTCCATCTACCTATCAGGCTAAGAGCCGTTTAAAGGACCCACCCGCCTGGAATGGGTCTGATTCCCTTTTAAAGCTACATGAACCAGTGACAGCGTTTATTTATTTAGAAGATGTATATGCTGCCTCCCCAGGCGGCTGCATCCAGTGGCAGTGAGTTCCATTAAGTTAATGATGCATCACAGAGGGGGGAAATACAGGCACGGGCCCTCCAAAAAGACTGCGCAGTGAAAAATTTGTTTCCAGCTCACTGCTGCTGTTTACCCCAAGATCAGGTAACATAAGCCAGTTACTATATTCTTCAACTTTGTGTATAGACAAAAGGTGGTTAAACTGGATGCTTAAAAGGGCACAGCCCCACTGCAAAGAAATCCAGGCTGCCTTACACAGTCAGACCCTTGGTCTACCAGGATCTGTATTGTCTTTTCTGACCAGCAGTGTCTCTTGGGTACAATCCTTCCCCTCACCTCCTCCCTGACCGTTTTAACTGGAGATGCTGGGCCCTTGTGCACACCAAGCAGATGTTCTACCACTGAGCTGCAGTCCCTCCAAGTAGAATGATCTAAGGGGCGAGGGGAGATGGAATTGGGACTAAAGAGCTGCTTTAAGAGCAGCAGTCAAGTTAAGCCAACCTACCAACTCTAGAAAACAATGCCAACTGCTGGTACCCTGGGTCAGCACTGCCCTGCACCAGGATGGCCTTTGTCAGAAAAACCACAGACACCTCAATGGGACCCAACAGGCCTGCAAGGAAGAAAGGCAAAACATCCCGGAGGGAGATGGTCCAAGTGACTGTGAACGATGCCTGACGGGAGAAAAACCACTCCGAATCACCTTTCCTGCCAAGCTTCAACAACAAGGAAGCCCAGCAGACGATGCAGTAAGAGTCAGGAGGAGGCCAGGCCAGCCCTGGGTCCCTGCTCCCTTCCCACAGACTCTGCACTTGCTCAACAGTGGCCTGGAAAGGCAACCTCAGTGAAACCTGGGCCACATCCACATGTGGTTAGATACTGCACTATTACATCATAGTTATTCACCCCTGGATTTTCTTGTGTGGGCAAGACAATCCCAGAGCTTAATAACTGTGATAGTGCAATATCCAGCAATGCGTGCCTACAGCTCCGTTAATTAGCTATGTGCCAAGAGAGCACTCCCCCTCCAGATACTGTCACAAGCAGATATACAGCTCTCTTCAGCCAGAATTAAACCATCCTCCTTGCCTTTGCTTTCCTCTCTTCGGAATGAATTAGCATGTACATGTTAAAAACCTGATAGCTATAGCACCAGATATGACTTGCAGGTGTGAAAACAGTCTCCAAAAACCACTTGGGAGAGTTTTCATACCTAAACAACAAAAAGCAATTCACACACCCAATTTCATCCCTGGCGACTATGAGGCTACTGACTGGTATATACATGCATGTGTGAATCAACTCTTGGCACCAAAACACTTATGACTTCTATTTTTTTTTTTTACGTAAACTGTATATGTGCACAGCCCAGATTAAGATTTATGGATATGTGGAAAGGAAAGAAGGGGGTTTAACCATTCCAGCTCTACTAACCAAAGGCTGCCTGCACTATTAGGAAACAGGTGTGTCTTTTAATGTGTCTTGTTTTTTCCTAACACAGCACAAGAAATGTCGTTTCAATCAGTGAAGCCAAGTAGGACTTGAAGGGTTAAACCCAGGGAACTACAAAAAAGCAGAGTGCTCAAAGGCTTTAACGCAGCCCACCAAAAAGCAGCAGTGTGCTCAAAGGCTTTAATGCAGCAGAGCTTGGGGCTAGTTGCGACAACAGACTTACAAAGTTACATGGAGTCTGCAGTCAGTTCTAAAACTAAAAAGCAACTTTTATTAAAGGAAATACATGCTGAAACGTGCAGGTAAAAGACAGATCTAGATTACCTATTCTAACTAAATAGTGTTGGATGCTGGATGCACGTCCAGCCTCTACGGTGCAAGACGAGAGATCATGCACCCTCTTTTGTGTGTGTGTGAGAGAGAAGCGTGAGGGAATGGAAACAGAGGAAACTGCCCTTAAGAGCAGCACCACCCTATTTCAAAGGAAAGGGTGCTCTATGTGTCCTGATCTCTCTATCCGTCTAAACTCTTTGGTGCCATCTTCTCAAGTCTGAGACAGGAGACAGCGCAAAGTCCTCCACTTCTAACAAAACCCTCCCCACTTCTTGTGAAGCCCAGATTCAAACTGCAACTGCAGCTGGACACAATTTACCCTTTTACAGATCGACAGTGATCAGTGATCGTTGTTACCTGTTTTAGACCTGAGTCCTACCCTGGCTAGGCAAAGAAATGGACCCAAGAGGAAGACCAAGGCTTTGTTGCATAAGGGCTTGTCTCTTTACTTCCAAGGATTTAACATTTGCATGTAGGGTTACCGACTTTCTTTACCAGCCCCCAGCTGCTGTGCCTTTAACAATACTGCATGATGTGCGGATGCGGACACTAGCAGGTCAGATGACCTGTGCATTCTTTCAATACTGTGAGCAGCTGATCTGCGTGCACCAACTTTCTATCAGCGCCTCCGGAGTAGGCCGGCCCACTTCCCTCACGCAGAGCAGGATAAAGGCTCACTGTAGCCCCTTCGCTGAATGGATTACTGAGGCCCAAGCAAAGCTGACTTCCAAGTCACTGATTATGAAATCAGGATGAAAAGAACAGAGAGCTACAGCTGCTGCTGCCTTTGAGGTTCAGGGAGGAAAGCGAAGCAGGTGTTTAGCCAGCTCACCTGCCTTACATGGGGCCACCAGTCCGTCTAAGAGACCCGGCCCCTTCTCCCTCTGCTCTGTGCTCCACCTGGAGCTTTTAATTTGGAGCTGGCCCTCCGAGTATAATAAATCCGCTTTAAATCTTGTCAGCGGCCAGGCCTCTACAGCTCATTTATCTTCCCCCTCGCAAAATTAGAAGCTTTAGTAGTTTAATAGCCGAGAGCTGCATAATTTAGTAATGAACGCATGAAATATTGATAAGAAGGTCCCCAGATCAGGAATAGCTTTTGGCTCTGCAGGAGGCCTTTCAACACTCTTAGGAAGAGACAGAGGGGGAAAATGTACCTTTTATGCCATGCTCAGCACCCAGGGGGAATTCGATAGCTGCAGGCTGAGAGTTGCAGAAAAAGCAGGAGTTTTATCTGCAGGCAACGTTAATGCTCCTACAGCATTTACGCAGCGGATGGCGCTCGACACTGGAACTACCTGCAGTTTGGGTTTAAAGTTGTGCCAGGGTCGTGGCACGTCGTTTGTGAGGATTAGAGCTTGGCAGGTCCTACAGCAAGAGGGCCACAGAAACCAGGAGGCTGGAAAGGTTTAGCTAAAAGGTCAAAGGCCTCTAGGGAACAGAGGGTCAAGATTGTAGCTCACCGTTTACAGAGCATACCCCGGCACATTCTGCAGAAGCCAGGGTTGCTTCTTGCTCCAAGGATGGCATGCATTCTCAGTCCAAATAAGGAGGCAAGTAAAGTGTGGTGAGTGGAAGGATTTATTTTTACAAAAAATAGGAAATGCAGTGAGGAAGGCTAAAGCTGCCCTTCTTTTGTTCCTGTTGGTTGAAGCTCTCTTTTTGGGGGGGCTTCTCCTTTCTGTATTGGTGTTCTCCAATACTAAAATGAGCCAGGCAAGAAGAAAAATGTTTCACACGATGGTGCGTTATAGTAAGACAGCTGTATTGAGGTCAGTGTTGTCTACTCTGACTGGCAGTCACTCTCCAGAGTCTCAGGATGGAGGGCTAAGTGTGGTATTGTGGTTAAGAGCGGCGGACTCTAATCTGGAGAACCAGGTTTGATTCCCCATTCCTCTATAGGCAGCCAGCTGGGTGACCTTGGGTCAGTCACAGTTCCCTCAGAGCTCTCTCAGCCCCACCTAACTCACAGGGTGTCCGTGGTGGGGAGAGGAAGGGAAGGCGACTGTAGGCCACTCTGAGACTCCCGAGAGAATAAGCAGGGTATAAATACAGCTCTTCTTCTTCTCCTTTTACATAGCCTATTATCTGATCCATTTTTAGCTAGAGATGCTGGAGATCGAAACTGGGGCCTTCCGTGTGCAAAGGCCCCTCCCAAAGGGCCATGGCTCAGTGGTAGAGCTTCTGCTTTGCATGCAGACGGTCCTAGGTTCAATCCCTGGCATCTCCAATTAAAAAGACCAGGTAGTAGGTGATGGGAAAGACCTTTACCTGAGACCCTGGGGAGCTGCTGCCAGTCAGAGTAGGCAATACTGACCTTGTGCCCATCATGTCTAGTCTGGCCCTGTTTCTATACAACTGTATAAAGAATAAGAACATAAACGTTTAAAGGATGGGAAGTAGGATTTGCATTGAAAGTATCATGCAGAAGATTCTGATCAACCAAAAAGACCAGAGGCGCTTACCTGGATAATGAGCTTGATCAAGCTGGAAGCGATGCATAGTCAAAGAGGTCAGAGCCCTCCAAGAAAAAATGGCTGCATGCTGTGATGTTATCCTGTTAAGCAAAAATAAAAGTAAAATAAACAAGGACTTTAAAAAAAGAAACTATCATGAGGAAACTGATCCTTTGGAAGCCAGTTCTGGTGCGGGAAGGAGGTGGGAAAGAACAGGCCAGTGGCGCAGACCATGATTTGCACGTATAAAGTCGGGAGGAAAAGGTTTCAAGAAATGGAGCCCAACAGCAGGATTCTGTTCCCCTCACCTGTGTAGGCCCCCCCCAATCACATCCAGTTTGACAGAGGAACAGCTCAGCTGGGGTCCATAATTTGCATGCATTGAGTCTACTACTGAGCTATCCCTCCCTCTCCCTGCTCGTGTATCATTTGCTCCTGAGGGGGGAAAGGGCGGCGGGGGGGGGACTGTTTTGGACACACCTCAGTATTCTGAGTCAGTATAACCGTAATGGCTAAGAGCTGTGACCCAAGAAGCGGTCCCATTCAAACTTCTGCCACAAAGTGGTCCTGGGCCAGTCCCTCACATTGCCTCCGGCAACTGCAATACGGGGAATCTACTAGCCTAACTCGCCAGGCTGTTGTGAGGATCGGAACACAACGCAGGTGCGGGGCTCGGAATGCTGAGCATGCTGTACGATTGCCAAGTCCTGAAATGAAACATTTGGAGGGAAGAGATTCACACACCCTTTGAACACTCACAACGTTTCTGCCAAGAATTCATATTTGATGCTGCCTACCTCGCTGAGAAGGGCTATGCCGGCGCTTGGCTCAAGGTCAAACAGCCTTTAAGTGACTTAGTAGCAGAACTGCAGCCTCTGCCGCACAGATGCCCGGGAGTTCCCAGCCCTGCAATCCAGCCCCATGAGGTCCTTCAGCCTGCATCGATCTTCAGCCCGCTTTGATTGCCCCCTCCGTGCACTGTTGCCAGAGCAGAGCCAAATGTCTATGCATGCACGGGTCTGGACAAAGTACCCAACCACCATTCCCTTGATCTAATGCAGAGGTTTCGACCGCATTGCTAGAATTGCTTACTCAGCATTCCCTGGCACCAGCTGCCCTGCAGTCCGACGCAAGCAGCCAAGAGTTTGAAATTGGTCTGTGATTAAAGAAAAACAAATAAATATAAAAATGCAGCAGGGCTCTCAGGAGGAAGAGCTGTGGGCAACTTAATGCGGCTGCTGCCACCTCGGCTGTCTCATCCCTTCGACACAGACAGGAAGATTCAGTCCTAAGCCGAGAGAAAATTCCTTTTTTATTAACTTGAGCCTGGTAAGCCGGACTTGATTTGAAGGCTCAGGTTGACAACAGGTAAAGGAAGGTCAGAGAGCTGCTTCTAGTCCGAGGGACACACACAAAAGGAAAGATCTGTGCCTGGCACCCAGAAGGACTCGGCTAAGTTATGCAGACTTAAGTCAAAACTGCCTAATGTATTCTGCTGCCATGATCTGGGCTACCAACAAATGTGGGATTTTATTTACTAGGAACATTTATTTCC